CCTGATTTTGTATTCTCTCATTTTATAAGTAAAATACCTATAGTGTATTACCCCATTTCCTGCTAGGCTTATAACTCTTATGATTTTCAAATATTAATAAAATTTAATTTCTCATAAAAAAAAAAAAAAAAGGCATGAAAATTGGCTTACATACTAAGAATTAAGAAAGGGACCAAAGTTGCAGTTGAATCCAGCAACTTCTACCTGAAGCTACCTCTGTTAATTTTCTGTCATCATTATTACATACTTGATAATGTCTGTATAATACTTACAAAAAGACAAAACCCAGAAAGCAGAAATTTGTCTTAATTTCATTCTCAATTTGGATTCGATGCTCAACCTACCTAGCAAAAAGATACTCCTATGTATGATCTGCTAATACCCGGAACCTTGATCCTCAGAAGCTAATTTAATCCTTACATTTTTGTTACTCCTAGATGAACTCTTCAACAAGATTTCCAAAATCAAACTTCCCATTGCAGCACTCCACAGCATTCACAACTTCTTGAAATGTGGCCACACTGCAAGGAACAACCAATCTGTTCGTCTGCTCAGACCCGAATTCGTCGTACGACTTCTCCAGCAGCATTTTGAAGAGTGGATGGGAGAGGAAGCTGGTTGGCACCACAAACCTCTCCCTCTCCTCTCCAACATAAATGGCAAAAGAACCAGTTGGAGTTGAGGCTGCCCTCGCCGGAGAAGTATCCCTGTGAAACTCCCTGAGCAGTCCTTCAAGTTGTGATTGCAGAGGATCATCTCCACTCATGCCCTTTGCCCTCTTGGCTAGCATCTTGAAAGAACCCATCTTTTTGCCTAACATATTTGGCCTTTTTGGTTTTGTTTTTTGAGGTTTGATAGGGAAATGGGAGAGAGGCTTGGAGGATGATATAGAAAGGAGAGAGGCAGAGGAAGAGGTGGGCTCATGGCTATGGTATGGTGGGTATGGGTGCATTTGTAGTGTGGGCAAGGAGGAATGTCACAGAAAATGTCATTTTCTGACTCCTCAATAATTGAGAATTTATGAATATGGTGAGTTTCTGACTTTGGGATTTGTCTTCTTTCTCCCTTGAGTTACCCATAATATAAAGAGGGATCTGAAAAATGTCAATCTACCTGTTAAAGATTTGAAAAATATGAAAATTATTGAGGAGTGGCACTCCGGTTTTGATTGACTTTCCACATTTGTTGGTGGCATGTTGGGTGGCTCTCGGAATTTCAAAAGAGAGGTAAAATCCCAACATTGGGAAAGCCAAATGCATTATGTCCACCATAATTGACCACAGTATTATCAAAGTGATGATCATTTTCAATCTTATCTAAATACTGTAACTTAGATGCAAAATCTTTTACTAAAACAGTCATATTATTTGTAAGGTACGTCCTAGACATATCCTTTTTCTAATTTGTTAAGTTATTAATTAAATTTAAAAGAAAAAGGAATAATTTTGATTCTTGTAACAAATGCTAACCACTTGCCCCCATATATGATGGGTATTTTGATTATAACTTAGTGGTTTGAATCCAAATGCTAACCACTTAGACCTTAAGCCAACCACCACTTGTGTCTTTTTTCTCCACCTTTTGTAGTGGGGACTCTAAATCCACTCTCTAATAACTGGAAAAGAGGCATGTGTCCACCCAAAGTCCTTTTTCCCTATCTTACTAACGCAAACAAATAAAATTTATCGTGGAATTATTTTTTTTGATAAAATTTCTCATGGAATTAAATATTCTTGAAAGGTACTTTGCAACATTCGGAATCAAACATGATAAAATAAAAAACCAACAAACCAGAACATAATAAATTAAGGTTTTTATAATTTCTTGGTTAAATTATGTTGGTTGGCATGAAGTGGGGTAATAATAAAAGATTGCATTATTGCATATATATATATATCCAAATAGATAATTTGAGAAAATCCACGTTAAACTCTAAAATTGTTTTAAATTTTTAATTAAATTCTTATATTTTTTTAAAGCAACTAATTAAGTCTTTAAACTTTATGATTTAGGTAATTTAATTGTTCTTTTTTATAGCAAACTTAATGTCCCTTTATAAATCAGTTACATAAATAAAAATATTGTTATAACATTAGATATTAATTTTGTTCATGCAAATAAGATATAAAACAAATGTTAAATTTATCATTAAAAAAGTTAAATTACTTAAATCTACAAATTTAAAAATTCATTTACTTCAACAAAAACTTAAAAACTTAATTAAAAACCTAAAATAAATTTGAAAACTCAACATAAAATTTTGTCATAATTCAAGGGAGAGAGGAAAAAACAAGAAGATCTTTATTGTAACTAGTTCTTCGTAATCTAATGATTCATTCTCAAATTTTAATATTTAAATAAGATTAATTAAGAATTTAAGTCCCATCAACTACTTAAATATTCACACTAAATCCATAGACTATTGGTGTTTTTCCCAATTCATAAACTATATATATTCCCTTTCCACTACCCTCTATAATTGCTTTTATAAGAAAAAGAAAAAGAAAATCTCTATAAGAAACAATTTTTAGTTGGTTAAATTTAATAAATAGTCTATTCATTATATGATTTATTTTAGTTTAGTTTAGAAATAATTTTTTCTTTCAAAATAATCTATAAACTATAAATTTTGTTTCAAAATGATATACTTGACAAACATTTCACTAACTAAACTAATGGATGTTGATGCGTGCCCCTTAAACTTTTGAAAAATGTTAAAGATAATACATATCTTTTTGCTTTTTTTTTTGTAACATTTTGTTTTGAAGTTTAAATTCTATAATCAGTGTAATAATTAACTAAGATGAATTTCAATTTACATTAATTAGAATTCCAATTTTAACTTACAACAATCAATGTTATAATTTAAATTTTATTATTTAAAAAAATTAATTTATTATTAAATATTAATATTTTTAATAAATAAACCTTTTTCAAAAGTTAATTTAATTAAATGAGCACCCACACATATTAAAATTCCCTAAAAAAATAAAAATTTATTTCAATTTTATAAATCCCCAATTTAAAATCATACATGTATTATTAGTGTTAAAAATAAAGATAAATTTTTTTATTTTTCTATACAAAGTAGTGAAAAAATATGTAATTTAATAATGATATTAAGTTTTTTAA